GTACTTCTTGAGAAATAGCGATAACAAACTTTCACTATCAAAATCCAAGATGGCTGCCTGTCGGCCATGTTGTTTATCCGATCAGTCTCAAAAGTTGCCCTGCCCAGCTAAGGACCAAGGGGAACCTGCATATAAAATTTGAGAAAGATCTCTCTGGCACTTCTTGAGAAATACCGATAACAAGAATTGTTTACGGACGGACGACGGACGACGGACGACGGACCATGTACGCAGGGCGGTTTGAATAGCCCACCATCAGATGATGGTGGGCTAAAAATGTGTACAGCAATATAATTGTATTATGTTTTCCCAAGCATGGAATTCTCATCGTTGTCTGTACAAAGTGTTCAACTCAAACTGGTATCTTCCTCAGTACAAAGTTTACGAGAGCTACAATTGCCTTTCATTTTAACTAGAATCCTTTTCAACTACTTCATATATTGATATTTACCTTCAGTATTGCACTAATGGTCACCTCAATTCCAAACCCTATATAGCAAATGTGACTTTGATTTAACAATTTTTTCCCTTTCCTCAGCAGTAACCTTCCAGTCTTTTTCTGTTTATTACGTTTACAGTTCGTTTCTCCAGAGCATACTCGAGTACTTATTAGGCTGTTCTAGATGTATACGTTCTCTTGACCAGCAAATTGCAAAACAGAGATTTTGTAGCCGAAATTATTCATTCTACATTGGAGTATTTACGGGGTGTCATAATGACCCGATTCGGGTAAATTGGTGAACTTAGGTAAATGCGCAACTGGTACAATGCATTTTTCTCTCCTTGACCACTGTTTACGCTTCAAGGATGCCTCTGCTGTGCTAAATGACTGGACATGGTAATTTTCTATTCTAACCATTGCTGTGGCCATTAAGCTGCCTCGTTCACGATACAATGCTCCACATGGATATCGTCTAGATAGTATAGGTACAGTAGAATATCATACTTCTTAGTTATTAGGAATATTGGTATTCCTTATTAAAACTTTCGTTTTAAATGAAAGAATTTAAACGACTGTGTCAATTAACGTGTTTTCGAAAAAATGGAATTTGAGTGGTTTTATGCCCCCTTTACTACAGAGAAGCAGGCCTACTAAAAAGACGAAAAAGTGCCAAAGCTAAATAACAAAGACGGAAAATGACCAAACTATTGTAAAAACAAGAGGCCCATGGGCCTTAACGGTCACCTGAGTCCTACAGTATGAATTTTTGTTATTGAAATATGAAGTGGATGGAGATAATGATGTCAATCATCCCTACCAAAATTTGAGTAAAAAAAAGTTAAGTATAACTTTAAGTTAAGTATAACTTTAAGTTAAGTTTGCCAGGACCATGAGTTGATCATTCCTACCAAATTTCAGTTAAATCGGCCAAGAAGAACTTGACTTTAAGTTTGGAATAGTTTTTCAAAATGGCGGCCATATTGGATTTCTGATCGACCCAAAAAATAACAACACTTTGTCAGGACCATGAGTTGATCATTCCTACCAAATTTCAGTTAAATTGGCCTAAGAGAACTTGACTTTAAGTTTGAAATAGTTTTTCAAAATGGCGGCCGTGGCGGCCATGTTGGATTTCTAATCGACCCGCAAAATAACAACACTTTGTCAGGACCATGAGTTGATTATTCCTACCAAGTTTCAGTTAAATAGGCCCAGTAGGACTTGACTTTTAAGTTTGTAATAGTTTTTCAAAATGGCGGCCGTGGTGGCCATATTGGATTTCTGATCGACCCGAAAAATAACAACACTTTGTCAGGGAGTTGTCAGTAACATTCCCATGAAGTATCAATGAAATCCCTTTGACAGTATTTAAGCTTAGGCTTAAGTTGAAAATGAAAAAATGTTAACGGACGATGGGCGATGGATAGCAATAGCTCATGTTACCTAAAAAAGCCAAATTTAGCTCCGATGCTTTTTTGTCTTTTAGGTTATTTCCTTTGGTGGCTTTTCGTTTTTGGCTTTGGCATTTTTCGTCTTACCGTTATTTCGTTTTGGTGGGTTTTTGTCTTTATGTTTTATCACTCGACGTCTTTAAGCGTCATACATGTACTTACGAGTCATCGTAACTATGGTACACATTAAAATGCAGTCATTTCTTAAAGTCAAAACATGAATGACATCCACCTGGTTACCGATACAATGTAGTTTATGAAGTATGAATGGATTGTTTTGTGGGTTAAGCACATTCATTATTCTGTAATCAAACTAAATCTGCCAGATACAGACAAATTCAAATTAGACCTCTACAGCACAGAGACCTGAACAATTGTTACAGCTATAGTTTGACCTTAACTAAGGTGTTCAGAGTACGTATTTTAGTGGTTTATATAATCTGTTGGTAAAAATGCCACCAGGGTTTTAGATCAACTTTAAATTTGATGGCATTTTTATTGAAAGATGATCTAAACCCCAAAAAGTGTAAAAAAAAACCCAGAAGGTTTCTTCAAGTAATCCTTCCTCATAATGATTGACGCTCTCGATACATGTAATTTATTTCAAGTAGGAATCTGTGTTCGTACAGCTGACAAGTTTTGGTAATAAAGAGCATTTTTTGTGTTATGTTAGCCTGGTATTATGTTTCTAAATGATCAGTGGTGATATTATGAGCTTCACGTCTATATTTCACCCCTATGTAGTCATTCCCATATAGTTGATGATCTATCTATGGTTAACCTTCAATTGATGTATTTTAATAAATAGACAACAGCAAGAAAACTAGTCAAAATGTGTACTTGATTTAATAGCATAATCTCATTGTTACTACCATGGTAAATAGCATATATAATACATCATCAAATACATGTACATATCAAATGATAATTGGCATTGACTTTCTCTTTTCCCTGGCACACGGAAAAAGCTCATTACCTGGTAATTACATATTTAATTAGGCTTTACATAGTCATTACAATACCCAGTGTGTCTATAGCAAATCATTCCTGTAATATAAATACAAGTCGACAAACTAGTAACTTACTGTATATATGTATACCCTGGAATATATATAAAACATTTTCAGCAGAGAAGCAGACAGATGGACAGGATGTGTTTACGGACGGGGAGACCGATTTGTCGCGAGGACTGGAATGGTGCCTAGTTGAAGCAGATTTCAGGGTGTTCACGTTTCTACATTCAAAGCTTTTTTCATGAAAGTTAACCTTTTCTCTCAAGGAGGCATGCCACCTCCATATAACAATTCTCAAACTTACAGATAGATATTCTGAGTACAAAAAAAGGGCAATAACTCTTGTAAAAATCAACCAATCTGGACAGCACAACTGCACTGCATGTTGATGTCATCAATAAAGTTGAGAGACTTGTTTTCTGGAAAATATTTGAGTCATCTCTTAATCTAGCATGCAAGTAGGACTTCAAATATTAAGTAAAGATGCAGACACACTAATATATAGTGGCAATCAAGCCAATCATTAAAGACAAAGGAAGTAAAATGGCCTGTTTAGTTATTTAGACAGAGTTGTGTCCTAAAATAAAAAGAGAAATAACTATTAACATTCTTTGACAGTTCAATGAAAATGAGGTTTATAAGTACAACAGAAGTTAATTTAAAATAACACTTAGACATGTAATTGCATACAAACTAAACAAGAATTCCACGGGAGTGGAAAGTTGAAACTGGACAGAAAAACCTGTAATATACCTGAACACTATTACTTCTAGCATTACCATACTAAATTTGAAAGGAATTGACTAAAAAAAAAAAAAAGTTCTCGCATTTACTACACAATGCCCATATTTGGCAATCAAAGGGGCATAACTCCGCCAAAAATGCACGTAAACTTCTGAAATGCCAAACTTGTCCAGGCTATATTGGTATGCAATATGTGTACCAAGTTTGAGTTCAATCAACCCAAACGAACTCAAGTTATTGCACAGAAACCTTGTTTCGGACGACGCAGACAAAGTAATACCTATATGTCGCCTGGTGTTGCAGGCGACACAAAAACTGTGTTACTGCTCAATACAGATAAATTTGTTTAGAAGCAGTTTCAGCACTGCCAGTGAAGGAAATACCTTGCCGTTGGTAAAATAGTCTAAAAACATCGGTGTCTACCTCTTCACAAGTAAATTATGTAGCAAATTATGTAGCTTCATGAAGATAACATGCATAGTATTTATAAAAGAACAAAGGAAACACATAATTGTAAGACAGAAATATAAACTAAAGGACAGACAGACAATAAAGTAAAGTGAAGGACAGACAGACAACATTACTATAAACTAAAGGACAGACAGACAATAAAGCAAACTGAAGGACAGACAATATAACTATAAACTGAAGGACAGACAGACAATATAACTATAAACTGAAGGACAGACAGACAATATAACTATAAACTAAAGGACAGACAGACAGACAGACAGACAGACAGTATACCTACATGTATAAAGTGAAGGATAGACACAACAACTGATAGAGTTCAGTATAACCCCCCCCCACCACCACCAATTTATTTTTGCAGGAGATATAATAAGTTGATCGTACCATCAGCAATCAATTATAACTTTACACAAGGGCAGGAATCTACAGTAACTTAAATTTCTATCAACATTAATGCAATAATTTGAATGATTTAATTTGCATAGGTAAAGGTATTTCTGATTGTTTTGAATTAAAAAAAAAACAGGTTTAAAACTGAAAAATGAATCTTTGAAAGAGTCTCAAAATCTCTGAATTAATACATTAAAAATTAAAGGCTAATAGGGATGAAAATGCATCTATGAAGTCTCACCAGAGCACTAGAGCAAACAAAAGAAATAAAACAACATGGCATAATACCATGTCTCTCCAGGCCCTGTGATCATGAAACATTTTTGCTTAGCCAATTATGTACCACGTATGCCGTTATTTGTGATTGGCTAAGTCAAAGCTTACAACAGTTTTAGACTTAAGATCATTACATGATCCTGGGGCCAGAGCACCGAAGCAAAAGACAGAAACAATACTGTCATGACAGAAGTCGAACAATGAAATAAAACAATACAGACGTTAACATATTCAAACAATTTAGTACATTAACCCTTGTACAATGAAATTGTCAAAATGAGTATAGCATATAGGTTTGATCATAGGTACCGACAGGATGACTAGACTCCAAATTAAATCTACGATTATACATGTGTCTTAATTAGATTTTCATATATTTATCCAGACTACTTTTAAAATGGTGTTTTTTCGTATTAAATGATTAAAATCAACCAGATATGCCGATTAAATTATATAACATGGTTGTCAGCTGAAGTTTCTATAAAATGAAATAATCTCACACTGTACATGATTTCAGCTTTAATGATATCTCCATCTGACTATTTGTAAAGCTCCTTATACAAATATCAATTACCAGAGCTAATCCTCAACGTCAATTTCTGAACAGATAGCATTCATTTGGAGCTTTTAACCGATATGGCAAATTGTATACTACTCAGATGGTTCTCTCCAAGATGTCTGGTGCATCTCAAGAATGATCTAAAGTATTGCACAGAACACTTGGCAATGTGAGGTTATATAAGGTCCAGGAGAAAAGGAGTATGACACTATAGCTCAGACAATACCGGTAAGCTTAAATATTTATCTATGGGCAACTCCAAACAATATGTCAAATGTCTAAATTGGAATTGAATATTTACCTACAGCAATCAAGATTTTGGAAAAAAACAAAAATCCATATCTCGGAACAGGTGTTTTGAAGATTTAAATCTGGCCAATGAGATTACATTTCTCTAAATGAGGCTTGAAAATTAACATACCTGCACAGAAAACAAGAAACCTGATATTTCTGAACTCCAATTATAACATATGGAAAACAAGGAATAAAACAGGATTCCTCCTCTCTTTACAGACTGAACAGAACCGTTCTTGGGAAGTGACAAGATTCTTAAGTCCACAATATCCCAGAAACGGAATTAAGAAAAGAAACAGGACTTGTTTTGCTGAAAAAACCCATAAAATCATTATCATTATTAAGTGACTAGACCTCAATTTCCTTATAATCAAATAAATACAACCATAAAATATCGATAATTAACTATAGGTTGTCCTTGTTTGAGAGTCATCATGACTATTATTTCAATATCTAAAAAAACATTCACAAATAACATGAAAACAAACTGACAAGTTCTCCATGCTTTCAGTCATCGGTACTTGTCATGAACATGAACACGGACAAACACTCAACAATATAAAAGTCACATTTTGTATCAATATCACATGGTTTAAGCTTACTGGATAGGTTGCAGAAACATATCATTTCATTCCAAAGTCATAGTGACACAGGAATGTCAGTAAAATATTTCACAGCAACAAATTATATCTTAACACTGATAATAGATTTTTGTCAATAATTCAAGATGCACAACATATTTTTTAAAAGACAATTTTTCTCACATTACAGATGAGCACTTTTAATTTTGTCTACTTTTGATTTGAGGATTTAGACAGATCCTTGGTAGAAGTCTGACGATGAGTCCAGATTTGGGTTGACATCAACCTCTACAACATTCACAGATCCAGTCCCATTGGGGAGAAGTATTTTCTGGAAGTGTGCATTGCGGTCAAAGTGTGTACTGTCGTAACTCCCTGCAATGCTGTCTGTGTCGTCCATCCTGGCTGTGGCCTGGTAGGGCATGCTTACCGTGTCTTCCTCCGGGGCATCATCCACCTGGTTCTTGTACGAGAAAAGGATGCTTGGCTGGGACATTCTAAAACAGACAGGACTTTCTTAGTTTCTGGATTCTTTCTTACATTGACTTAGATCCGTCCCAAAGCAAAGTAATCAAACGATAGATTAAAACAATTCAATTTTTATCAAACATGATTTTATCATCAGCTTCTCTATTAATCAATAATTTTGATGTTTTACTATTTACTAATACATTTTATTTTCTGAAAATATATTACAATGCAGTAATTTTAGGCTTACCTGAAAAATTTCCTCAGGAAAACAAGATATACCACTGGTGCAAAACAGGTAAAATAGATATATGTTGTGACATCCACCACACTGAAAAGGAACAGGATATATATATACGTTTTGTTTAAAAAATGGGCACCAGAAATTGAAAAAAACCAATAGAAGACACATTTTTTTAAAGCCCAATTATTCAAAGCCCAGAGGGAAAAAAATATTGTGGATCTTGATACACAAAAACCCGATTTAAGTTATAGAAGTAATTTTTCATAATTTTATTTGTGACACATTGATTTTAAGCTTGCAACTAATTTTCAGAAACAAAAAAAATGTTTTTATTCTGGATCTTTTCTTCACAGAAATGTTTTGCCCACAAAAAGGAAAAAAAAGAAAATACGGTAGTTATAGCCCTAAACTGCTACTCTAACAATAGTTATGCTTCAAGATATTTTTGTAATAATCATCTTGGAAAATTAACATTTAATGACAACCCTGTAAGTATGATTCACAAAACAGTTTATTATATATATATTAATTCATGGTTTTAATAATTCTGTCCTTCTGTCTAAGAATTGTGCATGTATGGGCGGAGTAAAGATCGTATCAGGTGATCCCCGGTCCTAAGAAAATTGTTTTGAAAACTCACCACATTCCATTTTGTATGGAGCTATAGATAAGGGCACTGCCTACAGCCTGGGCAGCATTGAGGGCAGCAAGGAAGGCAGCGTACCTATAGAACGATCTTTTGGCTGTAACAGACAGAAACATTGGGTATAGCAAGGAAGGCAGCGTACCTATAGAACGACCATTTGGCTGTAACAGACAGAAACATTGGGTATAGCCAGGAAGGCAGCGTACCTATAGAATGACCTTTTGGCTGTAACAGACAGAAACATTGGGTATAGCAAGGAAGGCAGCGTACCTATAGAACACCCTTTTGGCTGTAACAGACAGAAACATTGGATATAGCCAGGAAGGGAGTGTACCTATAGAACAACCTTTTGGCTGCAACAGACAGAAACATTGGGTATAGCAAGGAAGGCAGCGTAACTATAGAACAACCTTTTGGCTGTAACAGACAGAAACATTAGGTAAAGCAAGGAAGGCAGTATACCTATAGAATGACCTTTTGGCTGTAACACACAAAAACATTGGGGATAGCCAGGAAGGCAGTGTACCTATAGAACAACCTTTTGGCTGCAACAGACAGAAACATTGGGTATAGCAAGGAAGGCAGCGTCCCTATAGAACAACCTTTTGGCTGTAACAGACAGAAACATTAGGTAAAGCAAGGAAGGCAGTATACCTAGAGGAGGACCTTTTGGCTGTAACAGACAGAAACATGGGGTATAGCAAGGAAGGGAGTGTACCTATAGAACGACCTTTTGGCTGTAACAGACAGAAACATGGGGTATAGCAAGGAAGGGAGTGTACCTATAGAACGACCTTTTGGCTGTAACAGACAGAAACATTAGGTAAAGCAAGGAAGGCAGGATACCTATAGAATGACCTTTTGGCTGTAACAGACAGAAACATTAGGTAAAGCAAGGAAGGCAGTATACCTATAGAATGACCTTTTGGCTGTAACACACAAAAACATTGGGTATAGCCAGGAAGGCAGTGTACCTATAGAACAACCTTTTGGCTGTAACAGACAGAAACATTGGGTATAGCCAGGAAGGGAGTGTACTTATAGAACAACCTTTTGGCTGTAACAGACAGAAACATTGGATATAGCCAGGAAGGGAGTGTACCTATAGAACGACCTTTTGGCTGTAACAGACAGAAACATTGGATATAGCGAGGAAGGGAGTGTACCTATAGAACGACCTTTTGGCTGTAACAGACAGAAACATTGGGTATGGCAAGGAAGGGAGTGTTCCTATAGAACGAGCTTTTGGCTGTAACAGACAGAAACATTGAGTATAGCAAGGAAGGGAGTGTACCTATAGACCGACCTTTTGGCTGTAACAGACAGAAACATTTGGTATAGCCAGGAAGGGAGTGTACCTATAGAATGACCTTTTGGCTGTAACACACAAAAACATTGGGTATAGCCAGGAAGGGAGGGTACCTATAGAACGACCTTTTGGCTGTAACAGACAGAAACATTGGGTATAGCAAGGAAGGCAGGGTGTATCTATAGAATGGCCTCTAGCAATTTTGATAAAGCTTGGAAGAAAATTACCTAAACATTCACATAAAACATGTACTACAATACCAAAGATAGAAATGGGTGTGGAAAATATTGTATAGTAAAGTTCATTAGATATAAAACAAGAGGCACATAGGCCTTAACGGTCACCTGAGTTCTGATATTGTTATACAGATAGTTGATTTTTGTTTTTAAAACATAAACATAAATATTATTCAAAGTGACAAAAAACAATAAAACCACCTTATTCAATATCGAGCATACAGATTTAAGACAGTATTTGAAACTAGCACCTCTGATTCTAAACAAGGAATATGAAGAAATTTTAGCACACTGGCTCCTTTGGGCCCCGCCCTACAGCCCTTGGGGGTAGGGCTGGCTTAAAATTTTCAAAGTATCAAACTGTCAACTCAGGGTTATAATTCTAATAAAGTTATCAACATGTAATATTCAAAGTATCATTTGCCATTATAAACCATAATTAATTTTGCCACCTAAAACGTTTCAAAAGGGAAAAGTGAATGCGACCTTGTGAGACTGAGTGAGTCTAGGGTTTCAGCAATTAGTCGTTTACTTCACCTTCAAAAGCTGTCTTGTAATTCAGTGACTTACGTGGAAGTGCGAGCTTTTCTCTCAGACTTGTCCATGGTAAGATGAATATCACTGTGTAAACCTGCAAGTTCAGGAACAAAGGATGTTAACACATCTATGTAGTACAATGATGTACAATAATTATATACATGTTTGTATTATTCCAGTCCAAATGAGTAAAGGTTAATTTTTTATATATTACTGTAAGATTGGGTCACAAAATACCTTCCAGATCTAAATCAACATCATGTTTGTGGATCTGATATACGTTGTATCACTAGGGTTTTAATGAGATTACATTTGATTATCAACTTTTGATTAAGGTAGAAGGTATTTAGTGTTATATAATTACTCACCAAAAAGAAGAAGAGAGAACTGGTAAGCCAGAAGATCATGCCTCCGTGTCCAAATATGTCAAAATCCTGTATCGTACTGTTTGGGCTCTGCTTTACTTGGAAGTTTGGGTCTGGGTAAGTGAACTCCAATGTGCCCTTAAAAAGACATCTTTTTATACAACAATAATTCTTGCATGTCTTACTCTTATGCTTCTTGACTAGCTAGGTGTAAAAACATGCAAACTTACAAGCCTGTTGCCATCATTAGTAAGCACAGAGTTGGAATATTAGTCAGCCATTTATCAGCCTCAGGCAACTTCTAAGACACTGGTAAATTTAGATTTTGCTTTTATTTTTACTTGAATGAATATTAAAGAAAAAGAACATATACCACTATTTCAAAATGCATCAGAGTATATCATGTTTGCATCAAAACAATGTTTGTAATGACAGGAATAATATATCATCATATTTATAATAATTTTACTTCAATTTATCAAACAGGCAGCAGAGCTAGACCTTACAGTGGCAGAATAATGACACTGTGCATAAGAACTGACTACGAACTGACCATTGTGTTGGGGTATGAACTAACCATCATGTAAAAAATGACCACTGGTGCATGAACTGACCATTGTGTAAAAATTGACCAGTATGCATGAGTACAAACTGACCACTGTGTAACTGACCACCATGTATGAGCTGACCATTGTGCATGAGTTGGAACAGACAGTTGTGTAAAAACTTACCACAATGTATGAACTAATCATATAGTGTAAGAACTGACCACTGTGTATGAACTGATCATTGTGTTAGAACTGACCACTGTGTATGAACTGATCATTGTGTTAGAACTGACCACTGTGTATGAACTGATCATTGTGTTAGAACTGACCACTGTGTATGAACTGATCATTGTGTTAGAACTGACCACTGTGTATGAACTGATCATTGTGTTAGAACTGACCACTGTGTATGAACTGATCATTGTGTTAGAACTGACCACTGTGTATGAACTGATCATTGTGTTAGAACTGACCAGAATGTATGAACTAATCATTGTGTCAGAACTGACCACTATGTATGAACTGATCATTGTGTTAGAACTAACCACTGTGTAAGAACTGACCACTGTATATGAACTGATCATTGTGTTAGAACTGACCACTGTGTATGAACTAATCATTGTGTTAGAACTGACCACTGTGTATGAACTGATCATTGTGTTAGAACTGACCACTGTGTAAGAACTGACCAGTGTATGAACTGATCATTGTGAACTGACCACTGTGTAAGAACTTATCATTGTGAACTGACCACGGTGTAAGAACTGACCACACTGTATGAACTGATCATTGTGAACTGACCACTGTGTAAGAACTGACCAGTGTATGAACTGATCATTGTGAACTGACCACTGTGTAAGAACTGACCACTGTGTATGAACCAATCATTGTGTTAGAACTGACAACTGTGTATGAACTGATCATTGTGAACTGACCACTGTGTAAGAACTGACCACAGTGTATGAACTAATCATTGTGTTAGAACTGACCCCTGTGTATGAACTGATCATTGTGAACTTACCACTGTGTAAGAACTGACCACAGTGTATGAACTAATCATTGTGAACTGACCACTGTGTAAGAACTGACCACAGTGTATGAACTGACCTGTGTACAGGAATACAGGAGTGCTATACAGGATGTGACGGCCAATACTCTCTGGATACTTCTTCTACTGTCCAAGTGACCTGACAGGAATATAATATGAACATCCATTAAAGACAGAAGAGGTTGTAGCATTACACATTTAATATGACTACCAGTAATATCAGTTAATGTATAATGTGTGATATATAAATGCATCAATTTAGAAAAGTGTTTTGATGGTTTTGTGAAGCATAGAAACTCTCAATTTTCATCGTTTCAGAGGCGGCCAAGTGCAAAATATTCATTTCAGAACACAACTATACAGTTTACTTTGTATAATATTATAAAAAGAATCTGTCATTCGTTTACCTTCATATCAGATTTATGATAATCGTTTTGATTTTTTTTGAAATTGACAAACTGCATATGGTTTCAGGGTATCACTAAAATCAGCCATGCTACATGTAACTTAGTCATAAAATACTTGTTGCATAAATTATGAATTTTATATAGACTTACCGAAGGCCAGCCCAAATATCACAATGGACAACTCAGTGGCAAGCAGGAAGAATCGCAGAATCAACCACAGGACCTAATAATTGTCAATACATTGTATATTGGTCACAAACAGGAAACATCTTATATCCATCGTCATTATACATCAGACATCACGGTTATCTAACTTTCATTTGTCAATACTTCTAGCTAAACATATATTATAATCAAAACAAGGTATTTGAAAATAAAAATAAACTCTTTTAGTAAACTGATTTACATAATCTAGTAGACTGACAATTCAATTTAAGTTTCTTGTGGGGTCTCTATACATCGTGTACCAGGGCCTCGTTACCTTTCTGTTCAACCAAACAGCTGTAAACACTAAAAAAATGCAATTTATTTAACGGGGTATCAGTCATTCATTTGATAGTTTCCACTACAAGAATGCCCTAAATCAAATCTTTACCTTATCTGCAATGTCACCGGCCAGAACAGATGCATTGACGGTCATGGATACAACACATCTCAGAACACTGATGACCGCTACTGAAAACACCTGTAACACAGGACACAGGAATGATTACAAAGTAAACCAGTTTTCTCCCATTTGCATTGTTTACCGTAATTATATGTAAATAAAACTCTCTTTTATAGGTTGAAGTGAATGATATGTATACTGCATATGGCATGTATGAATTTAATTGTTGGTATATATACATGGGCATGGTGCAAATGCCATACATTGTGTGCATGACATCTGAATACCATGTACATTGGCTGGATATATACCAGAACAATTGTCATGTTTACTGTATCAAAAAAAAACTATAAAAGATATTGAATTAATGTGGGTTTTTTTTAATAGTCATATGCTGTTGTGTTTTTTTTCTGAATTTTTTGCTTTTGATATGAAAAATAGCAAAATTGAAAAAATAAATCTAACAAATGATTGCAACTATATATCGTACAAGCTTTAAAGCAGGATTCAATATTTTAAAATATTCACTTTTAAAATATAAAGGAAACACAATTCTTACCAGCATGTAAAATGCTGTAAATATTGGGCTGTTGGTGTGTCTCAGTTTGGATACTGCACTTCCAAGTTTCACTAATAAAAACGCCAGGAAGACTACATTCGGTACTAAGATAATTAGATCCCATACTCGTACCCTGCAAAAGCAATAACATAGATTATAACCGTCATATACAATTTACAAACAATCACCTTTCTCTAATCATATCTCTATTTAGTTGTTTGTTTTGAACAATTTACAGCACCTTCAATTTATATAGGTATGAATGAAAAACAATCAAATAGTAAATGTTTAAATTTTGATACTTACGACTTATCAAATGAACTTACCGATATATATATATTTATAATTGTACAACTGTGTTTTAAGTCCTCTTTATTACTGGAAGTATTTTTTTACATTTATGTAATTATATCAATTTACCTGAGATTGACACAGGTTTGTACATGTACAGACTGTAAGTAATAAAGAACTTGAACATGTACTTACAATCAGTTACCCAAAGTTAACATTTAAAATTAGATTGAACTAACTGAGAACAGTTAGGTCTCTATACAGTGTATATGTGTGTACCTTGAGTCTGCTATATCATCATATAGAATATCCTGACATATGGGACGTGTGAGTACAATGTCTGGTATTGGTATGCTCTTGTTGCTTGCCCTGGGAAACCCAGGGGGCATGGTGGCACTCGCATGCTCCAGTGCAACGTTAACCCTCAAGACTGGCTCATGCAGGATATCTGGAGTGGCAGTGGCTACTCCAACCAATGGTCTCTGTGTGAAGTATGTCACTCCGAGTTTCGACATGTAGCTCTAAATCCTTTTAAGCACCTACAGGTTTGATGCTGCAAGATTCATCTAAAATGAAAGAGAAACAAGGTGTGTTTTTTTCAAATATCAATGCTGCATAAGTATTATAAACATATTTCAAGTACTTAGTATGACAATTCATCATTGCTCTTCCATGGGGAGGTAGCTAGGGTAAAATAAAAAATAGTCACCATTTTTTCCATGGAAACCATGGATAAATTTGGACAATTATCAGAACTTTCCTAATTTCACGATGTTGATATCGCTACTACACTTATTTTTCAATCTTTTATAGGACCGAGTCAAAGTTATTGCTTGGGGGATTGTTTGTTTCATATTTATAAGTGATTTTTAATTTTCTGAAAGTGTAGCTACTATGTACATGTATAATTAATAGAGAGTAGTGTACATGTGCTTCCACCGGTGATTGATTCTGCGACCCAAGACTTCCTATTTTATAATTATACTTTTTATCTGATTTTGTGACTAAAGACTTACCACCCAGTATTATTTAAGTTTTGATACAACATTTTCATTTATCCAATCAAAGACTCATGTGCTGCATGCATATGGATTACAAATATTGAAATAACAACTTTGATCAATATTACATGTCTGTTATTTGAATATGGTAATGGAGTGAATTTATCATCACATCGTTTTTAGACAGTTCTATTTAAAAACAATAAAGTTAACAGCTACTAAATAACTGCAAGGATATATTACACATGATGTGTAGTGATGTGAGATTTGGTAAGCTCGAGGGGGAGTATTTTTAGAAGTTGACTAAAAGTCACGATACTCGAATTACAACTAAGCCAATATCAATGATCATGTCTCGGGATTCTGTTTTACATTCATCTTGGAATGAAAAGGAAAGCTTCAGTATTATTAAACACTCTTTTCAAACTTACAGTCATCATCTGAACATAACTGTCGTCGATAATCTGTTGCCGAATTGTTCTGTTGTTTTCGTTTTCCTCTCTTTCTTTTTCCCACTTCCGCTAGAAGATTTTCGGAATGCCATTTGGGATAAAATTTATAAATGACATGAGAGTGTCCCGAAAGCCAACTACGTCTTTTAAACGCTTTGTGTTGATAAACGTTTCCGTTTAAGCGTCATCGCTTCCCTGATTTTGGCGGATGTCGGAGAGCATTTTGTTGCCGAGGAGAAGGATTTTCTTAGTTCATTGCAAAGCTCGTAGATGATCAATTGAAGTCAGTACACAAAGTAATGGACTGCCAAACATTGATTGTATCTGTTTTACTAATGATGAACGTGCAAGCTGCTAATCGACTGACCAAGGACATTGCAATATTTTGTTTGCATATGAGAATGTTTCTGATCGGCACATGATTATGAGAAACTGAAAGTAGAACCAAAATATTGTATCGCGCGTAAATCGACGTCGAGGAGTACACAGTAATATCAAACAAGATGAGTTGTTTTAAAGGACGAATGAGTGAATATAGAAACATATCTCTTGACAGATTTGATGGACAGAATTTGAACTCCACGGTATATTTTCTGTCGCATCTTCATGAAGGTAATACTAATAGGCCTACAGTATGGTAGTTGAAATAAATCTCCAATCACCTAATCAATGAGTATTAAATACTTGCCATGCAGTTCGCTATTAAGTTCAAATCGCGGTCATGTGGTTGGAAGTAAACATGAAACACCCTAAAACTACATTTAGAAACTTTAAAGTCACTCTTTTCCAAGCTTTCAGGCTTAGCCCTTCGTCAGGGATCAGATGTCACTGGACCTCTATGTTTCCTTCCCACAAATTGCGCAATAATACATGATGGAATGCTTTGATTTCCATGAGAATTTCTCAAGTTGTAACCAAATTTGAAAATCAGTATAGCCACTAGCTGCAATTACATAGCTCTTGACGTGATTTTAATGTACTGCGTCATCAGAAAAAAACGGAGGAGATCAGGTATTATATATATAAATATGCATGCAGCCACAAGGGTTACAGCTGGTCATTTCGTCAAATCCGGTTTGGATATGGATCTTTCACCCTAAATACAGTTTGCCCTAGGTGTTTCGCCAAAATAAAAGCATATTATTTAAGTTATGAATATCAGTTTAAATATTATAAATAGTTAAAATCTTACTGTTTTCATATTTCACTAACAATTGTGTTGTTGGAAGAATTTCATGTAAATGCTGTGTGGAGATAGTCTGGTCCATTATATGTTTGAGTCTAACAAGTCTTATGACAAAAAAAGACTAAGAAAAACTTCAAATGAGACTAATTTAGTCATACACTTCTAAACAGGCCTTAACAAATTTCACTCTTAACATTTTTTAGGGCGAAACAACCTAGAGCGAACTGACTCGGGGTAAACAGGATTTAGGGAGAAATTACCTGACACCGGCCACCAACAGCTTACTTGGATTTTTTGGAAAGTCACATAGTACCTGTTAGAGAACCCTTGAAGCGATGCTTTGATGTTCATTAACGTTTCTACAAATGCCTTAATAGTTTTAAATACCTGCTCAAGTTTGATTTTGACACATATATGATAATCATTAATGTGATTAGACTAGTTCTGTCAGCAGGGACAGGTGATACACACCTGCCTTCATGGAATTGACCATTCTTGCATTCTCTGTTATGTTTTCACACAGGACAGATGTGTTTTGACATTACAGAGTTTGAGAGGAGTAGTAACAATTGCAAGCCAATTGACTAGTGTTCAAACATTGGAAATCTAATTTAACTGTACAAAGAATTTATTTTAACTTAACATTGTGATTTTTCCTTTTTCTGGAACTACTGTCCCCAACCCCATCTCTAATATCGTCGTTTGGTACAGAAAAATTGGCATGTTGTGAAAAGTGTAAATGATATTCAAACTGTTTGGATGACCATTATTATTACATAATCAAATACATACATGTACAATATGCATTACAAAACAACAAATCAAGATACAGACTTGTTTATTCCATTGATATTTAATATTCCTGTGACCTAATGTTTCTGTTTGTTTACAGATCACACTGTTGGTTTAAGTGTATCCAGTTTTATAACAAGACTCAAAGAAAGGTAATGTTGCTGGAATTAGTATTGTTCCAATTAATCAATTTGATTGATGTTTAGTCGTTTATCCCACTTTGACTAATCAATCATATTTTTTATGATTGTTTGTGGTTTGCATGACTATAACATGAAAACTTATAAGAGTTTTTGTGTTTCAGAGCTGACCTGATCACTGATTTGACAAACAATTTTACTGGAAAGTTTTACTTAAGAAATAAACAGGATTATATTTAGGGTTATACGCCATACATGTATATGTAATGAAAAACTGTACACTTTGAGTAAATCTGCAAAGGTTTATGCACTTTTAAAGCTCATCTTGTCATAGGTCAAAACAAGCAACATCTTTTAAACAACTGTATCACCAAATGTAAATGGCTTAATTACTACTAACAAGGTCACACTAGTCAATTTCTTTTTGAAGTTCAACATCATCTCTGATAGAAAATCCAATTTAGATTCATGATAATATATTTGACCTGTAACTTGAATCTTGCTTTCATGAATACTTAAGGGCCCTTAATTTTGGCTTCTGGTAAGATATTTTTATAACTAAAATTTGCTTTCTTAATTAAAAAAATAAATATATATCATCAGTAATAATTAATGTACATTTCTCATGTTGTATTATAGCTCTGAAGTTTACCTGTACTGCTCTGATGTAACTAAAGTTCTGCTCATTGAAAGTCCAAAGTATCAACATCTGGAAAGATATATTGTGAGTATAAAAAGCAAATATTTTACATGTTCCCCAATCCAGTAGCTCTGTGTGTTTTGTTTTTCAAAATATGTAATGGAAAAGTTACCCTTTATTTTCAATAAATGAGTACAGCACACCCTCACCATAATGTCTTTTAATTATTTCAAGTCACCTTTATTGGCTATACTGCCAGCCCATGGTTGATTTTTCCATTTTTCTTACAATTTCTAAATATGTCTGGTTGTGTCTCCTTTTCTATATGGCCATATCCCTTTATAATGCTTATATTTCACTTGATAATCAGAACTGGTGGTTTAACTTACTGTTTTATTATTTTATGTTGGATAGTTCATACTAAACATAAAACTTCTAATTGTTTGATAGAAATATTAAGGTTTACGAGAGAAACAATATACCTGTGGCAGGTTTTAATTGTAAGTAGGATTACAGTCACCTTCTAGCTTCCAGCTAGAGGGAATTTCCCTTTAGCTCAGTGGTAGAGCGTCTGACTAGGAACCTGGAGATTGAGGGTTAGATCCCAGGTGGAAGCACACTATTCTCTTTCCTGTTACAAATGGTGTCCGTGGCCCTCCCTGTGGTGACAGGGTGTTATTTTAATTATAGATGTGGTTATATACCTCGATCACTTACCAATATATTTATACAAATGATGTAAATGTTATGTATAATATTGTATTTCTCTTTACCAGAAAACTTTGCCTATCAATCAACCAGTCACAGTTTCCATTCCTCAAGCATCCTCTTGCAAGGTAATCACAAGTATGGAAAATTTATTGGGAAAGATATAATTGTAGATTCCATAAAACCCCACTTCCTCAAACTGGATTTACTCGAATACCCCTCATTTGTCCAACTGTTTGTTTGGTCCTGCTCGAGTTCGTACATATTCTTTGTAAAGTAACCCAAAATAAGTCAAACCGTTTTTCCTCGAATACCCTGTATTCCATGAACAAAAATTTGTTCTCGACTCGTCATGATCATAGTACTAATCTTATCTATTCGTTGAACAGGTGTGACCTGTTACGCCTGACATATTTTACCCATGTATCACACCGGCACTACCGCCTACGTTTCTTGAGGCACAGGCTGTGGTCCACGCTCATTGTGCTTATACAGGTGTCCGCTAATTAATTAGTTAATTAATTACATAATTAGAGGATTAATGGCAGTATCATTTAGTAACTGTACCATTTCCCTGTTGTAGCTGCATTATTATTTTGTGTGCATATTTATTTTTTCCAGACAGTGTTTTGACATTGATGATTTGGCGGAAGTGTTAATTCACTGGGTGTGTAAAACCATATTTAGGCATGGCAATATTAAGCAGATATCACATAGCGGATTTTTGACCAACTTTAAAGATATTCAAACTTGAATACACTGTGATTGTTAATTTCGTTATCAATCAATGTTATGATAACAAGGATTCAAGAATTTCTTTATTTTAAAATGATCGAAGAGTTCCTCTAGTTTTGATATTTTGTAAAATTAACGAAGCCGATTACAGTATGGCAGACTATGACAAAAAGACAAGTTCGTTACACATGCAGCTTTATTAATTTGATTTACTTTCTTAATACCGGTTGCTATATGTTTTCAATGTTTTGCTATTTTAAATATTATTAAATGCTGTCATCTTGATTAAACTTGTTTTTTCTTCTATCATCTACTATCCGCAATAATAACAGTGCTCGTACTGTCTGTTGTCTCACCTGCTAAAAAAATGACAATGTCGGTTGAAACTCTGATACATCGAATACCATATGTATTCCTCAAACTATTTATCTGGACCCTACGAGTTCGAGTTAATGGGGTTTTACTGTACTGTAGTTAGAATGTATCAGATCTTATGTATATATGACATGTGTTTGTATGTCAGTTACCTGGTACTGTGTTTTATCAAAAATGTGATTGAAATATACAGTATGTACAAGATCTGATAACTATTCTGTGAAATTTGACCTTTAATGTATTTATGACTTATATATAATTAATGTAGAGAAAGAGTTAGTTTTCTAACCATTTTGTAAGAAAGCCAATATTTTTCATTCCTTGATGTTCCAGATGATTTTGTTCAGTTTGAAAACAAAATGTTTGTGGATGAGTTTTGATTTTCAATTAATAACAAAAACTGATGTATGATGTGATGTTATTACTGGCTTATATCAAGATTTGTATATTGTATTCATTTGATAAATGTATATAATTCTAAATCTATTGACATTGCTTTACCTTACTTATACTTACTGTTCATAAGCGTTTTAGGTAAACCAGGGATAACCATATTTTTTTAGGTCAATCAATAGCTATAATTATATTTTCGGGTAACAATGATAAATGTGGCCAGTATTATAATAGTAAATCAGTGATAACATTTGTTAATATTTCAGGTTGACATGGTTCAGGTGACACTCCTACCAGCTGCCCATTGTCCAGGCTCTGTCATGTAAGACCATATATATTGCTTCAATATATTTACAATGTTGACCAGTGACAATTAAGCCCACGCTCATTGTTAATTAAGGCCCCTCTCCTGTTAAAAACATTGTACAGGTGTGGGTCACATGTGGAATTGCCCTAACGTTAACCACAGGTAAAATACTGTAGATATTGTGATTAATTAATAGGTTTATTTTCTTTAAGCAACAGGTTTGTACACAAAACACACTTATTTGAGCATAATGTTGAATTTTGAAAAATAATTTAAATTTTCTATCAGATTTTTTTTTTTCAAGAAATGGTTAGTACAGCTTTCAGTTGGCATTCACAAATACAATGTAAATCGCTAGAGTGTTTCCTCATAGAATTTGACATGTTCCAGTTGGCATTCATATAGCCTATCAATGCTTAATAAAGTGTATGTTGTTGAAGTTTCTTTCTTTTTCCACCATATGTCACCATGTTTCAAACACACCTGTTTGTGGTGGTGTCTCTGTCAAGCAATCAGGCTATTATCCCAATGGTTAATCCATCACACATGTCCTATACTGTTATCTATTTGGCTTCAAAATGTTGGTGATGAAGTCCATTGGAAATCTCCATCACATGTACAGATCACTGCTAGATATATCTTGGAGGCTGAGAATTGGGAATTGGATAATTCAATAAGGAAACTTGCGAATCAATAAGATGTGTGATATATAGACTGTCAAATACATATTTTGTGCACAAAATATTTTTTATTGATATACTTTAAAGCACATGAATTAATTGTCAATGATTACAGGTTTTTGTTTGAGGGATCAGAAGGTACAGCACTGTATACAGGAGACTTCCGTTGGGAGGCCAATCACATCTCTCAAGTCACTGCCCTTCACAACGGGGACAGGTAAGGGACACGGTTACTACTTATATATATATCTGTTGTCACTGCCCTTCACAACGGGGACAGATAAGGGACATGGTGACTACCTATAATATATATATCTGTTGTCACTGCCCTTCACAATGAGGACAGGTAAGGGACATGGTGACTACCTATAATATATATATCTGTTGTCACTGCCCTTCACAATGAGGACAGGTAAGGGACATGGTGACTACCTATAATATATATATCTGTTGTCACTGCCCTTCACAATGAGGACAGGTAAGGGACATGGTGACTACCTATAATATATATATCTGTTGTCACTGCCCTTCACAATGAGGACAGGTAAGGGACATGGTGACTACCTATAATATATATATCTGTTGTCACTGCCCTTCACAATGAGGACAGGTAAGGGACATGGTGACTACCTATAATATATATATCTGTTGTCACTGCCCTTCACAATGAGGACAGGTAAGGGACATGGTGACTACCTATAATATATATATCTGTTGTCACTGCCCTTCACAATGAGGACAGGTAAGGGACATGGTGACTACCTATAATATATATATCTGTTGTCACTGCCCTTCACAATGAGGACAGGTAAGGGACATGGTGACTACCTATAATATATATATCTGTTGTCACTGCCCTTCACAATGAGGACAGGTAAGGGACATGGTGACTACCTATAATATATATATCTGTTGTCACTGCCCTTCACAATGAGGACAGGTAAGGGACATGGTGACTACCTATAATATATATATCTGTTGTCACTGCCCTTCACAATGAGGACAGGTAAGGGACATGGTGACTACCTATAATATATATATCTGTTGTCACTGCCCTTCACAATGAGGACAGGTAAGGGACATGGTGACTACCTATAATATATATATCTGTTGTCACTGCCCTTCACAATGAGGACAGGTAAGGGACATGGTGACTACCTATAATATATATATCTGTTGTCACTGCCCTTCACAATGAGGACAGGTAAGGGACATGGTGACTACCTATAATATATATATCTGTTGTCACTGCCCTTCACAATGAGGACAGGTAAGGGACATGGTGACTACCTATAATATATATATCTGTTGTCACTGCCCTTCACAATGAGGACAGGTAAGGGACATGGTGACTACCTATAATATATATATCTGTTGTCACTGCCCTTCACAATGAGGACAGGTAAGGGACATGGTGACTACCTATAATATATATATCTGTTGTCACTGCCCTTCACAATGAGGACAGGTAAGGGACATGGTGACTACCTATAATATATATATCTGTTGTCACTGCCCTTCACAATGAGGACAGGTAAGGGACATGGTGACTACCTATAATATATATATCTGTTGTCACTGCCCTTCACAATGAGGACAGGTAAGGGACATGGTGACTACCTATAATATATATATCTGTTGTCACTGCCCTTCACAATGAGGACAGGTAAGGGACATGGTGACTACCTATAATATATATATCTGTTGTCACTGCCCTTCACAATGAGGACAGGTAAGGGACATGGTGACTACCTATAATATATATATCTGTTGTCACTGCCCTTCACAATGAGGACAGGTAAGGGACATGGTGACTACCTATAATATATATATCTGTTGTCACTGCCCTTCACAATGAGGACAGGTAAGGGACATGGTGACTACCTATAATATATATATCTGTTGTCACTGCCCTTCACAATGAGGACAGGTAAGGGACATGGTGACTACCTATAATATATATATCTGTTGTCACTGCCCTTCACAATGAGGACAGGTAAGGGACATGGTGACTACCTATAATATATATATCTGTTGTCACTGCCCTTCACAATGAGGACAGGTAAGGGACATGGTGACTACCTATAATATATATATCTGTTGTCACTGCCCTTCACAATGAGGACAGGTAAGGGACATGGTGACTACCTATAATATATATATCTGTTGTCACTGCCCTTCACAATGAGGACAGGTAAGGGACATGGTGACTACCTATAATATATATATCTGTTGTCACTGCCCTTCACAATGAGGACAGGTAAGGGACATGGTGACTACCTATAATATATATATCTGTTGTCACTGCCCTTCACAATGAGGACAGGTAAGGGACATGGTGACTACCTATAATATATATATCTGTTGTCACTGCCCTTCACAATGAGGACAGGTAAGGGACATGGTGACTACCTATAATATATATATCTGTTGTCACTGCCCTTCACAATGAGGACAGGTAAGGGACATGGTGACTACCTATAATATATATATCTGTTGTCACTGCCCTTCACAATGAGGACAGGTAAGGGACATGGTGACTACCTATAATATATATATCTGTTGTCACTGCCCTTCACAATGAGGACAGGTAAGGGACATGGTGACTACCTATAATATATATATCTGTTGTCACTGCCCTTCACAATGAGGACAGGTAAGGGACATGGTGACTACCTATAATATATATATCTGTTGTCACTGCCCTTCACAATGAGGACAGGTAAGGGACATGGTGACTACCTATAATATATATATCTGTTGTCACTGCCCTTCACAATGAGGACAGGTAAGGGACATGGTGACTACCTATAATATATATATCTGTTGTCACTGCCCTTCACAATGAGGACAGGTAAGGGACATGGTGACTACCTATAATATATATATCTGTTGTCACTGCCCTTCACAATGAGGACAGGTAAGGGACATGGTGACTACCTATAATATATATATCTGTTGTCACTGCCCTTCACAATGAGGACAGGTAAGGGACATGGTGACTACCTATAATATATATATCTGTTGTCACTGCCCTTCACAATGAGGACAGGTAAGGGACATGGTGACTACCTATAATATATATATCTGTTGTCACTGCCCTTCACAATGAGGACAGGTAAGGGACATGGTGACTACCTATAATATATATATCTGTTGTCACTGCCCTTCACAATGAGGACAGGTAAGGGACATGGTGACTACCTATAATATATATATCTGTTGTCACTGCCCTTCACAATGAGGACAGGTAAGGGACATGGTGACTACCTATAATATATATATCTGTTGTCACTGCCCTTCACAATGAGGACAGGTAAGGGACATGGTGACTACCTATAATATATATATCTGTTGTCACTGCCCTTCACAATGAGGACAGGTAAGGGACATGGTGACTACCTATAATATATATATCTGTTGTCACTGCCCTTCACAATGAGGACAGGTAAGGGACATGGTGACTACCTATAATATATATATCTGTTGTCACTGCCCTTCACAATGAGGACAGGTAAGGGACATGGTGACTACCTATAATATATATATCTGTTGTCACTGCCCTTCACAATGAGGACAGGTAAGGGACATGGTGACTACCTATAATATATATATCTGTTGTCACTGCCCTTCACAATGAGGACAGGTAAGGGACATGGTGACTACCTATAATATATATATCTGTTGTCACTGCCCTTCACAATGAGGACAGGTAAGGGACATGGTGACTACCTATAATATATATATCTGTTGTCACTGCCCTTCACAATGAGGACAGGTAAGGGACATGGTGACTACCTATAATATATATATCTGTTGTCACTGCCCTTCACAATGAGGACAGGTAAGGGACATGGTGACTACCTATAATATATATATCTGTTGTCACTGCCCTTCACAACGGGGACAGATAATTAGGGACAGTCAAGTTGACTGTCTATATTATAAATCTGGCCTCCCCCATCCCCCCAAAGCAATTACAGGTAGGAATAGTCAGGATACCTGCCTAATATATCTCTTTGCTACTCTCTATCACACAGTAGAGATCAGTCAAGACACACACTTCAAATTACTACAATCACCCACTCACCACAACAGGGACAGGTTGTTACAGTCAAATTTGCTTTACCTGGTATGTCGACTTTAAAAAAATGTAATATTATGAATTATATCAACTTTCTGGCTATATGCACTTTCTGTATATTCATGTAACTGTCAGAACACAGGTGGTATTTAATGACCGTATAGTAATAGACTTCTCTATAAGGTAATAAACAATACAATATAATCATGCAGTTCAGATATGAACTCGGAGAGTTCATTTTCTGAGTTCATGTAGTTCATATTTATACATAGTGATCACTGATGGAATGCATTTTTTATGCTCATAAGGAAATACTTTGTTAGGGGAATGCATAAATTCAAAAATCAGTGTCATATGGAATTTCATCAAATAAATAGTATTATAACTTATTTGTAACTTATCGAAAGTCCAACACCTCTTGCAGTGTGAAGCCCATCCAAAGCCTGTATGTGGACACAACCTTTTGTCATCCAGACTGTTTCCACATCCCTAGCCGGCAGGACTGCGTCGAGGCTGTCAGTGGATTGGTCAAAGAGTGGATAGCCAAGGGTCAAGGTCATGTAGTGCATTTTACTCCGCGGTCACAGTACGGCCATGAGCACCTCCTGAAGGAAATTTCCACCAGAACTCAACTTAAGGTATTGGGCCCGTAGAAATCTTAATCAGTAAAATGAATCTAAAATATATTGTATTTCAGGATAATTTTATATAAGGTTTATCTTGTTCATTCCCAACATGTCACTGTTGTCAGTCACAGGATTTGAAAGTTTTGTCTAACCCTTTTTGCTGTTTTAGTATCCCTATAAAAGCAATTGTGTATAGAAACTTCCCCTCAGTTAAACTTTTGCCCTATGCCAGTTGAAATTGTTATTTGCCCACTGTAGTTAGGCTGATCTTCACATTCAATCAATATTTTTATTAAAAGTATTTCTTATGTTTTCTGTGATAATAAATCTGCCCTCATTATGGAGGGCAAACAATGCATGAGCCAAATATTTTGAAAATAATTACCCTGCAACTTATAAAACAGGAAAATATTTATCTGTTTTTACTTTTGTTACAGGTCCATGTGTCAAAATCCAAAGTAAGAATATATGAACAGATTTCAGACCTGAAAGGTATCTTCACCTCTGACCCCGACGAGACACCAATCCACGCCTGTCTAGGGGAGGTTAGCAGTTAACATTATAAGTTTTAATGACTTGTTCTCCTTGTATTAACTACATCAGCCAAATGTTCAAAGTCTGTTATCATTTTATGAATAATACATTGTAAACCTGCAGTCTTTCATGAAATTTATTTCAGTGCTTTAATACATAAGAATTTCAATACATGCAGAATTAATTCCAAATTGTTTTATTGTATGTAGACTGCTTGTTGTTTGCACCAAAGTGTTTTTCAATTGTTTATCTGTAACATGTACATACTGACATTATTGTTTTTTTACTGCAATACTATTGTGCTCTCTATATCACCAGACTAGTGTAATAAAGCACTTGTATTGTGAAGTCAGGCCAATGACAGCACTCTTGGTCCTGATGTAAGATTTATTGATACCTTAAAGTGTGCTTTCAATATTTTCAAATGTAGTCAAGTAACAGATATTTCAGTGGGTTTTTTCATTAAACGTTATATTAATTCTGTTTTTCTTGTAAGGAATTATTCACCTATATATTGTGTGTATTCTCATTCATGCATCATACTCATGCAAATGTAAAAGTCACCCCATGCTTATAAGATATATCTTTTTGGTATGAAAAAAATATTGATATTTTCCTATAAACTAAAAACTTGAATCAGTAATATGTAATACGAAGCAGACATAACCTGTTTAGAAGAGAAGCAACACATTTATCTGCTGTATTTTAAGAGGACTTCTGTGTACCGCTAGGTATCCTCCTGACACCTAGAAGGGGAGTGTAAACATTCCTCTAAATTAACTTACCGGACGTTGGTTCCTTCCTCCTAATCATGAGTTATCATTTACTTTGTTGGTTACAGATGTTTGCAAGAGGTGACCGTGACTCTTTACCCTGCGGCTACCAACCTCCCAAACATTCCAAGTTCAACAAGATGGTGATCTTACCCTCAACCATGTACTTCACCAAGAAGATGCGTTTGAACTTGGCAAACATAGTGGAGAGGACGCACGGGATCTACCGCGCCTGTTATTCCTTCCACTCATCCTACAGTGAGGTGCGCAGCCTTGTCACCTATCTCAGACCAGGAAAGGTCCGTCCCAACGTTAAGCCGCCACCAGACTCATCTTTAGGCGAGGTAAACAGGATGATATCTTGCTATTTTCATTGACCAACTTACATTTGTCTGTTTCTGAACAGATTATGATACGCAACAGTAGTTTTTATAGTAGTTTTTTCCTTTAAAAGTTTTTTAAAGGAAACTTGAATTGGATGTTAATTTGGCCCTGTCTGTCTGTCATGTTTTAGTTTCAATGTATTAACTGAACTAATGATGGTCAAATTTCAATGGTATGCACATACATATTAACATGTTTGAGACTGAATTTGATAGTCAGTGTGATGGATGCATATTTATACATGTACATTCTGATTGGATAATTGGTTTCCATGCAATAATTGCCTTGCTAATGTGTCAATGAAATTTGTTATGTAAGACATGTTGACATATCTCAGGCTGAGTTAGATTGTGAATCACAGGGGGATATATGAATTCCACAAATTTGTTGTATAGAAAAAAATCTGTTTTCCAAACCATGTGATTACATTGGATAAAGAAATAATGCAAACCTTTCTTTTCATCAGACATGTACTATTATTGTGTATATTTTTCAATCTAATCAAAATTAGATCATTGCTTTGCTCCCGTTTACTGATATGTTGTGTGACATATCATTAAACGGGAGTGATGCAAAGTTCTAACTTCAATTATATTGTATACTTTTTAACTGATATTTCCTTTTCTTCATCATTATCCATGGTTTGTCCATTAAACGATATAAAAAAAATGGTCCAAATGTCTTCTTTTCTTCCTTTGAACAGGTTCAGAAGAGGCTTAACCATTTCCTGAAGTTAGAACATGACGAGCAGAAATATGAAACGGTCAATAAAACGTTTGGTACCCTTAAAAAAAGGAAATTTCGGAAAAGAAAATTATCAAGATTGGGTGAGTTCCTTTTAACATTATACAATATCAAAACTGCTTTAAATTTAATTTAATGGTACACACAGTAGGTATGCAGTACAATGAAGTATAGTTATTCAATGGATTTGTCAATATTTGCTTTCAATACCAAGTAAAAAGTATCACTTTGTGAAAAATACGTTTATTGGGTTCAAATAAAATATATTTTGTCTGTACATTTAAGGTCATGATCGGCGGTAAATGGGGATTATAACTACCACATGGTCCACTTGTTCCATCGCTTTACTTTTAGGCAATTATCGAGCGGGTGGATATTTTACTGTTTACATCACACTGTAGTGATTGATACTTTTCTGCAGTAAAAATGAATTGTCATGGCCTGGTGAACCCATTGCTCAGCAACATCAAACGTGTGATACATTGATGACGAGACCTTAGTTACAATTCGTAAGGTGGTGATGTTTTCTGAAAAATAGCATGTAGGAGCTGGCTTTCTCTACAGTAGGTAGGTAAAGAGTAAGACAGGATGCAGTTTTTGTCTCGCTGCCACGAAGTAATGGAAGCGAGGCTAAGGTGTTGCTCTTCCGGCGGTGGTGGCGGCAGCGTCAACATTAAGTTTTTGCGTTTAACTTAGTTTCACTGAAAGTAAAAGTGCTATACCAACCAAACTTGCACCATAGATGCATCTTAGGTCGTAGTACATCTCAACCCATGCATCAAATGCTGGATGCGGCCTACCTTTCATGGTCCACTGACATTGTCAGCATCTCCATCACCATTGAGTTTTTGCGTTTAAGTTAGTTTCTCTGATATGTGCATTGATGGCCAAAGCGAGACACAGACGAGACATACCAATCCGAATGGCTTGTATAAGATTTTAAGTTGGGGGAGGGGAGTGTTCCAGGTTGAAAGCTCAGCGAGAGTTACATACAGTGAAGCATGGCATGTGAAATCCTGTTGAATATTCATTGAGTTATCAGTTATAGTGAGGCCAGTAGACAGTTGGGATGGACGGTAGTCTATAAAAAAACAGTAAGGCTGCAAATTCAATGTGTATCATTTAACAAAAAGTTTTCTCAACTTTTATATCATTTGCATCCACTAGGCAGTAAAAGTGATAACCAGTTATACATCCTTTCTGTAAAAGTGTCCTCTTTTTCCAGGTTCAAGTGACTCGGATGACCTTGTGTTTGGATCTCCCGACCTCAAGCGTATCAGGAGTGTGGAAGGAAACATAACCCCTGTGAAAAATCAAAGAGGGACTGGCCCGGAAGGGGACAGAGAGGGAGTGAATGTGCCCCCAATGTCTCCACAGGAAGCTGTCACCCCCATGAAGAGTGAGATATCTGATGTGCACAGTTCCTACGCTGGCAGTAACCATGACGATAGTGAGATGAGCGATACTGGACTGCTGTGTGAATCAAGTGATGACCAGCAGGAAAACAGGTGAGAAATCACTTAAAATTTGTAAGAGATACTACTACAATGACCAAAATTAAAAATAATGAATTAATATTTCTAAAGTTTGGTGAAAAGTCTAGTTTACCTCATCATTAAGTTCTCAAAATTTATTATACAGATCACAATTCAAATTTTAATGCAATTCAATGTTATTTGTTTTATTTTTCCTTGCAGTGGCTTTAAGGGAGATGACCTTTCAACTCCACCACAGAGCCTGTTAGATGCCATAGATTCACAGAGTTCCTCACAGGAAGTTAACTCTTTCCGAGTTACCTTCCTTGAAGATGAGGAGCAGACAGTCGGACAGCAGGCATGGGAGTCACCCGACATTCCAGATTTTGGCGAGGAAACAACAAACTCAAAAACACAGATCAGGGAGGAATCCATGCTAACTGACAGAGACAGTGAGGAGAAATCTGAGGTTGTGAATAAAGACAGTATTGGAGATAAATCTAGTCAAAAGGTAGACAATAGTGTCACAAATGGAAGAGAAGCAAACACGACAGCCAATTCTTGCGAAAGTTTGAAGTTGCAGGGTTATCAGGGAGATGTAGATAGTTCACTGGAAGAGACGGATTCAAGTCAAAAGTTTTTAAAGAAGGATGTGAGTGATTTTGAAACATCGGGGAATGATCATCATTCAATGGAAACAAGCAATGACGCTAAGGAAGACAAAGAAAACTTGGATAAAGATGTGGAAGTATCAGTAATTGAGTCTCTCACCATGTCTTACTCCGATGATGAACTGTTGGAGCAGACCTCAAACAAACACTTAAACTCAGAGTCTGAACTTAATCACAAGGATAAGTCTAGTTCTGAGTGTAGCAGAAATGAAATAGTGGACATTTCTCAAAATTGCAATGAGAATTCTAGAACTGTATCTTCTTCTATTAAACAACAACCCAAAGATACTGATTCTACTCATTCTAAAGACTTGAAGAAAAATGGCAGCTATGATTTGTTTGAGGAAAGTAATGATGGATTCTGTGTGGGTGAGATGGAAGGAGAATGTCAAATAGTCTCAGTCACAAGTATTCAGGGCCCATCTGAAACGGACAGGAAAGTTGACAGTGAAGGTAAAAAAAGTGACAGTTTTGATTGTGAGAGCAGTGAAATAAAGTTACTAAAGGACAAACAAGAAAATCAAATCGATACAGGTGTACAAGTATGTGAAGGAAATCAGACAGATACGAAAAAGCAGAAACTGTCTCAGGAGATGTCTGAAAAATCGGAAGGTTTTGAGGTTACAGACTTAACAGAAAACTATGATGAACAATCTTATATCAGTGACAAAGGAAAACAGGATGTTCAGCTGGTACCTACGTCACATGCATGCCAGACAACCAATGAGAAAATTGTGTCGGACAAGAAACATCCTAGTATGTCAAGGAAGGGAGTACACCGACTGTCATCGTGTGACACTCCGGGAACCTCTCGTAGTGTTTGTCAGTGTGTACTTGATGCTAATCCTCAGCCAGAGACCATTCTGGTGGAGATTCAGGAAGACAATGTCGGAGAGCAGGGGGTCAAACAAAAAAGGCAGCAAAATAAACGATCCCCTCAAAAACCCTCGTCAAAACTTCTCACCAACACACAAACAAACAATATTGTTATAGCGATTTTAGATTCTGATTCAGAATCTGACGAGCAAGAACCATGTGGTCATAAGGGGGATGTCACAAATGTCCATGGCAACGAGTCAGACAGTGACATGACCTTACCTCCAAGTCAGGAGGTCAATAAGGTCACAAAGAAGGCCAGGGAAATGTTTGATTCAACAGATGGTAAGGATGAGGATGTCATGATTATAGACGATGATGATGACACAGAGGATGATTCTGATGATAGCACATCAGTGTCTTCAAGTAACAGCGATGAAAGTCTGAAGAAGATATGCCCAAGGTCAAGACTGGACAAAATCCAGCAAGCACTGTACAAAAGAAACAATGAGAAAATGCCAGAAGATATCACCATGTACCTTGCGAATAATACAGCAGACAGTGACAGTCTGCAGTCTGACGACAGTGACTGTGCCGTCATAGACCTTACACAGAGCGATAGTGAAGAGGACAGCAAGGAGGAGGAAATCTCCCACTCAATATCCCATCCAAAAGAGGAGTCCTAGAGGAAGATTGTCATTGGTTGATATTGAGTGCTTTGGTTTTATCCTTACCGGTGTCCTTGATGCAAATTTTAGTAATAGTGTCAAATTATTGATTATTTATTGTTTGAGATATTTCATGTACAGTGAACATTAAATTCTATACTGTTAATGTTGTGCTACAAAAGTTAAAGTATTACTAATGAATTTATTATGAAAACATACCGCCACAAATATATTGACACACTAGAGCTGCATTTGGCATCAGGAATCGGAGGATCATCCACCCAAAAATTCCACTCTGTCATTGGTTTGAAAAAACTCCGCACTCAAAATGTTTGGCTCATTGGCCATCTGACCTGAACATTTTTTCCTTTTAACAAGTTCTTCTAATGTATTTGTACAGAATGCCAAACAAGGTAAAATGCTATACTGGTGATATTCTTATAATGTGGTCTATGATATATTATTGATATGCAGATGGATAAATCTTTGGAAGATATTAAAAAAAAAGGATAAATATGTGTCAATCATTTTCAAGTGGTTTATTAAAAGTATTTTGTTTGATTAACTCTGAAATAGTGTACATTCTAATAATGTATTTGCTGCAGAAACCTTAATGAATCACCAGAAATAGGTATACAAATGAGTTTGCTTAATTTATATCCTGCATTTTTATAATGAACTAGCATCTATTTATTTTCATATTCATTTTCATATTCTGTCAAATTTTGTTTAGAATTTTATCATAGTGCAAAAATGTTTTTTTTTTTTTTTTTTTTAAATGCATTATTATCATAATGAAATTATATTTACCTAAAGTTTTATTGAGAAAATGACATAAAATTGTGTATTTTTACCCTGATGAAATTATGCCTAACTGTAAACTTCATTGAGGGGAACAACGTTCTGTATCTTCATGTCCTGTTAAATACTGAATGTTTTATTTTGATGTGTCAGATGCTGATATTATATATTTCAATTCAAAAAGGACAAAATCAGCTTCATAGAGTGTACCGGGAAATTGTCATGGCAGTTTAATTTTCGTCTTTTCTACGCTTTGAAGTGAGAGCAAGTAGATGATGACAGTGAATATTAGTAGACTGTAGCATACCTATTTATTACATGTGATACGCAAATTAACATATGTATTACAAAATCCACATGCACACACTGGGTAAACATGGAATGTATCGATAAAGGACGAATATTGGACTTAGAAAATGTTTCCCGGTATACAGTGATATATAAGTACATGAACTGGAAACTCATTTACATCAAGATCAATTATGAAAATCAGTTATTAAAAGATTTTTAACTTCATCTTGATTAATCTGTTCTGTTGTTCTGTTTTGTTGATATTTTCTGTCATCAATGTCTCTGGACAATTTACACTGCCCTGATTTTTGTTAAAAATGATGTTGCTTGTATTTCACATTTATTATATTTACATCAGATTTTGTGTGATACATGAATTTGTAGCGTATGAATTATAGATTTTTTCCCCAGTGCTGTGTATACAATATACACATGTTCCATGTCAGGAACACCCATATGGGATCTCTCTCATGCATGGGTGCATCTCACCTGGTGACCCCCAGTTGAATTATTTTTAAAGGAGTGCATCAAAACAAAACTTTTAGTTCAAAACATCCAGTTCCATATATCGGCCGACATTCTGAAATGTGATATCATTTAGATGTAATAAGTGATGTCATTCAATTGACACTTTGAATTGGTCTGTGGAAGAATATCTACTAGCTGCCAAAGCAGAGTCGACATCTGACATCGCCTCATGGAAATAAACAAGTACTTAAACAAACTTGATGTGCAGCTTTTGCAAACTGCTTTACTTTTAAGGGTAAACCCTGGTGTATTTTAGATTTGTAGTGGTATATCATGGTTATACTGTCATAAATTGAGTTTTACTGGCAATGCAAATCTCAAAATACTGGTGGGTTATCCCTATTCTAATTCATAACAGCTAAAATTAAGGAAAGAAACAACGATTCTAAGATTTTTTGGTGCGTTTTCTCCAATATCTGGGTTTCTTTATCTGCCGTGGTTGGTGAAGTCAGAAATATTCAAAATAAGACAGAATTATACATTGATCTTTAATTTCTGGCTCGCACTAGTGTTTGTCACATCATTAACCCATTCACCCCTGAAACTTCAGAATGAACTATTCCAACCTTTGAGTTGGAAAGGTTCAAATGTGTGTTCAGGGTTGAATGAGTTAAAAGTCAACTTCATGATCTTTCGGGATCATTGACATCATAAACAATCGCCATCTGGAATTCATATGCAAAAGAGAAATTTGTAGACAGTATATCTTGGTTATACCTGAAGTTTGCAAATATTTTCGATTGCCTTGTTACATCTTAAATGAATTAGAATTAAAGTTTACCTGCATTAAACCATACATTTTCCTCTTCTTTTCAAATTTGTTCTTGAGGTTTACTTATACAGTATTTGCCATGTTGATTTTTAACCTATTCCAGGGTAGGAGGTTGGAGGAAAAGATTCAATCATTATGTAGTATCGGATATAGGGGAAATTCTACCCTTTGGTGTCATCACTACACATACACGTAGTTATATATGATAGACTCCTTTAATTATCTTCAATACTGGGTTCTGATCATGAATTGAGCCCCACTGAACCTAAGAGGTTAGTTACATATTGTATGAGAATGTTTTGTTACAGAGTTTGGGACGTTGCTATGCCGTTTCCCTGTCATGGAACACACTGTGACTTTGTTATCAGGAAGAATTTGCAATAAGCTTGTTTTATTGTATCGATTTGCTGACATTGCCTCGTTATTTGACATGAGATATTTTCCCTTTATTTTTAACAGTATGATCTCGTTTACCTCCATTTGTATGAAATGTACAAAAATATACCTGAATTTGAATACATGTTTATAAAATGTTGAAAATTTTTAACTGAATGATATGAAATTCAATTACACTGTTAAAGCTAGTAATTGTATATTTTCTGAAAAACAGTTGTTGATTCAAAGAACTTCAAATTATATATAAGGCAATCATTAATCAGTTGAAGTTCTAATATACATGTAATTTTGATGAAATTGTGTTTGAACCCATTGCAAAATTTTGTTGAAATTTACAAAATTCATTTGAGTATTTACAATGGAATAAAATTGTTTTGAATAATTTATTGTTGTTTTTGTCTTGTTTTGTTAATTAAAAGACTTGTCATAATCATCAAAACATTGTGATTGATTGAGGTACAGTTCGTAAACAAGAGGTCTAGATTGGCTGTATTACTCACCTGGATATCTGAGCATACATTGCAAAAAAGAAGATCCCAAGAAGGGCGATTTTGTAAATGTTTCCACATTTTGTGATCTGCCTTTGCGCATTCGGGGTACAACTCTTTTCCATATATGATATATTAGATTTCCTGGCCAATGTTGCTTCTTGGCAAATATATTAATAAATTTTGACAATAGCCTTGAGGGAAGATTTTTAACACTGTGATTCCCAAATTCTTTTCATTCATAGCAAGTTAGGGAGTTCAACTTTTTTCACATTATGATTCATGGCTGAAGTCCCCGGGAGCCAGCAGGATCCTGGGTCAATCATGGTAGCATGAGTGTATCTGTCTCTTCATGCTTAAAAGTTGCATTCATGATTTGGAATCTCAACTTCTTTCATATTATGACCGAGTAACTGCTCGGTGACATGGCCAAGCTATAATTGATCTTGTCTTTTAGTTCAAAACATCCAGTTCCATATATCGGCCGACATTCTGAAATGTGATATCATTTAGATGTAATAAGTGATGTCATTCAATTGACACTTTGAATTGGTCTGTGGAAGAATATCTACTAGCTGCCAAAGCAGAGTCGACATCTGACATCGCCTCATGGAAATAAACAAGTACTTAAACAAACTTGAAGGGCATGTGTATGCAGTAGTCCCCACCTTGTAACCATAAACACCATTACTGAGCATAAAGAGATGAATACATTATGCTTCCCAAGATAGATCTGGGGTCTGGCCCACCCCTGCAGACTTAGTCCCTGAGCCATAACTTAGAAATGGTTGAGATTCCCACCCTATTTATACACTAGTTGGTACTCCTATAACATAAGAGGCCGCTGGTAGGCGCCTGTCAAAAGTATCTCGCCGTGTAGACCTCTAACACTGTTGGAGTACACTAGTTGGGTGTTCATATGGCATGAGCTTACCTTGGTCTGACAAGGCTAATAAAAAACAACAAAACACTCATTACTGTTGGGGATTTTATATGGAAAAATTGTAAAACATATAAAACATGGTCATAACCATAATGTCTTGTTCCATCTCTTTTTAAAGAGCAAAAAGAACAAAATACGACAGACACAATGTACAACTTATAACGACAAAGAAAAATAACATCTTCAGACCTTCTTACTGAAGTCATACAGTCAACTGGCCTGTATATAGTGTCACAGGAGAGGGTTTAAAATAATACAATGATAATCACCAACACACAATACACTGTAACCATACATTACTGATACACTGTATTGATTGTTACACTACACTTTCTTGTATACTTTTAATATATCATAGGTATAATGGATACACCAAATACTATAGACACACCATATATACACTATGGGTAAACCATTAACACATCAGATACACTATGGGTAAACCATTGATACATTATAGATGCACTATAGGTAAACCATTGATACATTATAGATGCACTATGGGTAAACTATTGATACATCATAGATACACTATGGGTAAACCATTGACACATCACAGATGCACTATGGGTAAACCATTGACACATCGTATATGCACTATGGATAAACCATTGACACATCATAGATACACTATGGATAAACCATTGACACATCATAGATGCACTATGGGTAAACCATTGATACATCATAGATGCACAGCACTATAGGTAAACCATTGATACATCATAGATGCACTATGGGTAAACCATTTATAAATCATAGATGAACAGCACTATGGGTAAACCATTTATACATCATAGATGCACTATGGGTAAACCATTGAGACATCATAGATGCACTATGGGTAAACTATTGATACATCATAGATACACTATGGGTAAACCATTTATACATCATAGGTGCACAGCACTATGGGGAAACCATTTGTACGTCATAGATGCACTATGGGTAAACCATTTATACATCATAGATGCACTATGGGTAAACCATTGACACATCATAGATGCACTATGGGTAAACCATTTATACATCATAGATGCACAGCACTATGGGTAAACCATTTATACATCATAGATGCACTATGGGTAAACCATTGATACATCATAGATGCACTATGGGTAAACCATTGACACATCATAGATGCACTATGGGTAAACCATTGACACATCATAGATGCACTATGGGTAAACCATTGATACATCATAGATGCACTATGGGTAAACCATTGATACATCATAGATGCACTATGGGTAAACCATTGACACATCATAGATGCACTATGGGTAAACCATTGATACATCATATATACACTAAGGGTAAACCATTGACATATCATAGATACACAATGGATGACACCCTGGAAACACTACAGACATAACGTTAACATAGATAAACCATAGACACACCATAGATATACCATGGATACATTGGATTAATCATGGGCACTAAGTAAGTACTCCATAGACACACCATACATACACCATGGATATATCTCTGTAACCATTAATCCACAAAGGATAAACAGTAAGACATAAATATCAAAAGTTACCACAGATCCAGTATGGGATACCATCAATAAAACACTATAACCTACAGCTATGGACAAATCATTGATACCATGGATAAGCCGGGATACACCATGGATTAACTGGTCCCCTATGGACACATCCTTGTCACCATGGATATCTATGGATACATCATATTGATACACAATGGAATTCTATGGACACATCATTGATATCAAAGAGATACAGCATATAGGTAACCATAGATAAACAATAAGATATATCACACACAGTTCATGTAGATGCCAAGAGATATGTCTAAAGCATGGGATATTGGACAGCTTAAACATGGAAACTAAGGAAAATGAGTCCAAAACATTAAGAAAATTTTGTACTATAATGATGCAGAAATGATTTACCACCAACTTGATACATTTAAGTCAGCACTTGCTCTGAAGGGGCATGGTAGAATTATAATGAATAGCAATGTCAATGCCAAAAGCAAAAATGAAATCTCTAAAATTGACTTAAATAAGTCCAGTCACCTAAAATTAGGTCAGTCCACTAAAATAAGGCAGAATTAGTCAAAAGGCTTCATTTAAATGAGTCAGTGTGACTTTCAATACCTTTTACTCTTCAGGATTTAAGCTGGATTAATTATCTTAGTTCACCTTGGATGTGGAAAATACAGGTTTTTGAACACATTGCAACCGTATAACTAATCCCATATACAGAAGATTGGAATTCATTTCTTTCTGGTGTATTGATGTATCCATATCAAAGTCATATCTTTCTTGTGATTTTTCAAATTGTGTTTAGTTAATGAGGCATTTTTTTTCTGCAGCTTCTTAGCAATTTCAAATGTATGAAAGTAAAACAAAACTTTTATGACATCAACGGATTGAAATGAAAGAAACATGCATGTATACATGTAACTCTATACTGACATTTAGAGATAGTCTTACATGTACAGATAACTCTGTATGGACATGGATACAGATAACCATGGCCATATACTGACATGCTCAGGGAAACCTATACTGACTTAATATATATAGGTTACAATTATTGACATGTATACAGGTAACTCTATACTGACATTTAGAGATAGTCTTACATGTCCAGATAACCATGGCCATATACTGACATGATTAGGGAAACTTATACATGTTTACAGGTAACTCTACATTAACATGTATACAGATAATAACCCTATACTGACATTTAGAGATAGTCTTACATGTACAGATAACTCTGTATGGACATGGATACAGATAACCATGGCTATATACTGACATGCTTAGGGAAACTTATGCATGTTTACAGGTAACTCTACATTAACATGTATAGAGATAATAACCCTATACTGACATTTAGAGATAGTTTTACATGTACAGATAACCATGGCCATATACTGACATGCTTTGGGAAACTTATACATGTTTACAGGTAACTCTACATTAACATGTATACAGATAATAACCCTATACTGACACATATACATGTAGCTCTATATTTACATGTATACAGGTATAACCCTATACTGACACATATACAGATAACTCCATACTGACACATATACAGGTAACTCTATATTGACATGTATACAGGTAACCCTATACTGACATATATACAGATAACTCTATACTGACACATATACAGGTAACTCTATATTGACATGTAAACAGGTAACAATATGCTGACATGTGAACAGGTAACAATATGCTGACGTGTGTGAACAGGTAACTTTATACTGACACATAAACAGGTAACTCTATACTGACACTTATACAGGTAACCCTATACTGACATGTATACAGGAAACTTTATACTGACTCATGAACAGGTAACTCTATACTGACACTTATATACAGGTAACCCTATACTGACATGTATACAGGAAACCCTATACTGACATGTATACTGTAGCCCTATATCAACCTGACATTGACATGCATACAGGTAACCTTATACTGCCATGCCTACAGGTAACCCTATTATGACATGTACAGATAACCTTATTCAGCAGGAACAGGTTACCATGTGCTGTCATATTTGTGTTACCCTATACTGATCAGTATACAGGTTACCCTATAACTCCATGTATCAGTCATTGTAAGGTTATCTGCACATGTAATTATAGGGTAACCTGTATTCTGCTCAGTAGAGGGTAACAAATATGTCAGTACAGGGTTACCTGCATCAGTCATTGTAAGGTTCTCTGTACATGGAGTTATAGGTTAACCTGTATACTGATCCGTATAGGGAAACACAAATATGACAGCCCATGGTAACCTGTTCCTGCTGAATAAGGTTATCTGTACATTGAGTTATAGGGTAAACTGCATACTGATCAGTATAGGGAAACAAATATGTCAGTACAGGTAACCATGTACTGACATATTTGTGTTACCCTATACTGA